TTAAAAGACAGGAAAGAAAGAAAATACCAAAGTGGGTGTCAGAAGGGACTCTGAAACTTGCTCTTGAATACAGAGTAGCTAAAGTGACTGGAAGAAAGTAAGACATAAAAAAACTGAACAGAACATTTCAAAGGACAGCTTGTGAAGACAAAATCAAGTATTATAAATGTGTAAAGACTTGGAATTACAAAATTAAAAGGGAACAACATGCTCAGCATTTCTCAAGCTGAAAAAAATGAAGAAAATACTCAAGTCTTGACTAAGAATATTGAAGGATTCTATGGGCAATATATTGAATGATGCAGAAGGCTCAAAAGAAGATAGAAGCAATATGGAGTCACTGTACCAAAAGAATTGTTTGATGTCCAACTTTTTCAGGAGGTAGCACATGATCGAAAATCAGTGGTATTGGAGGAAGAAGTCCAAGATGTATAATCAAAAAAAAACAAAACCCAAGCCTTAAAAAACAACAGTAAGCCTTTAGGATTTGATAGAATACCAGTTGAACTGTCTCAACAAACTGATGCACTACTGTAAACACAAATAGTCTTTGCCAAGAAATTTGGAAGATAACTTCCAGACCAACTGAGTGGAAGAGATCCATATTTGTACCTATTCCAAAGAAAAATGACCCAGCAGAATGTGAAAATTATCAAACAATATCATTAAAATCACATGCAAGAAAAAAATGTTGTTGAAGATAATTAAAACATGGTTGCAGCAGTTCATCAAAAGGAAGTTGCCAGAAATCCAAGCCGGATTCAGAAGATGTGGAATCAGGAATATCATTGCTAATGTCAGATGCATCTTGGCTGAAAGTAGAGAATACCAGAAAGATGTTTACTTGTGTCTTATTGACTATGTAGATCATAACCAATTATGGATAACATTGGGAAGACTGGAGATTCCAGAACACTAAATTATGTTCCAACAGAATAAAGGGATGCTGCATGGTTTAAAGCCAAGAAAGGTATGTGACAGCATTGTATCCTTTCACCATACTTAATCAATATATATGCTGAGCAGATAATCTCTGAAGCTGGACTATATGAAGAAGAATCTGGCATTAGGGTTGGAGGAAGACTCATTAACAACCTGAGATAATACATGGTGCAACCTCACTTGCTGAAAGCAAAGAGGTCTTGAGGCATTTGCTGATGAAGATCAAGGAATACAACCTCTGTGTGGTTTGCAATTCATGTAAAGAAAACAAAAATCCTCACAACTGGACTAATAAACAACATCATGATAAATGGAGAAAAGATTGAAGTTGTCAAAGATTTCATTTTACTTGATCCACAATCAATGCTTATGGAAGCAGCAGTCAAAAAAATTAAACATCATGCTATTGCATTGGGCAAATTGTTGCAAAAGACCTCTTTAAAGTATTAAAGAGCAAAGATGTCACTTTGAGAACTAAGGTGCACCTGACCCAAGTCATGATATTTTCAATAGCATCATATGCATGTAAAAGCTGGACTGTGAATAAGGAAGACAAGAGAAGACTTGATGCTTTTGAATTGTGGTGTTTGAAAAAAAATATTGAAAATACCTTGGATTACCAGAAAAACTGGCATACCTGGAAGAATTACAGCCACCATGTTCCTTGGAAGTGAGATGGGGGTCCAAAAGTGGTCTCTATTTGATTACATGGGAGTATGTGTGTGTAATGTTCATTGAATTGTCCAGCTACAGGTAGTGTACATCACTATCTGTAAGTTATACTCTGATAAACAGGTGGAATGGGTAATGGAGTGCATGCCATGTGCACTAGTGTGCACTAGTGAATGAAACCTCCCTGTTCATCCAACCCTAACTATCACGTGTGAAAGACTAACTCAGGTAGCTGCTGAGCTGGAATATCCTCAGTCACTGTTCCCCAGCCTTAGGAACTTCTCCTAATTCAGGACATCCCCAAATTGCAGCTCTCTGATAAGGGTCCTGTGTGTATGAACACAATTCTAACATCTCAGAGGACATATGAAGTCATTGTGTTCAAGGGGAAATTTATTGAACTCTGATGCTTTGGTATCTGTGTAATGGGCTGATACTAGGTTTGTTCTCTAACCACGTTTCCCTCCCTGTCCCTAGAGCCCACAGTGGTGTTTGCCAAGGAGCAGCCAGTGAAGAGTGAGGTGCAGGCTGAGGCGGGGGCCAGCGCCACACTGAGCTGTGAGGTGTCCCAGGCCCAGACACAGGTGGTGTGGTACAAGGATGGAAAGAAGCTGACTTCGAGCTCAAGGGTGCGTGTGGAGGCCACGGGCTGTGGGCGGCAGCTGGTGGTGCAGCAGGCGGGCAAAGCAGATGCTGGAGAGTACACCTGTGAGGCCGGGGGCCAGAAGGTCTCCTTCCATCTGGATGTCACAGGTGGGTCCTCGGGGTGTGTGTGTGGCAGCCTCATTTGAAGATGATAATGTGACTGATTTATCACATCAACAAATCATAGTGCTCATTCTATTCATATCCTCCATCTTCCCACCTTGTTAATTTTCTGCCAAGATTGGTTGTGAATGGTGTGTAAGGTGGGAGGGAGAAGTTCCTTCCAGTGGTTTTTCTAGGTAGGAATGCTTGATCATGTAGTCCCAGCCCCTGCCCAGAACCCTTTTTTGTCTTCCTTGGTTTCTAGGATAATGGTTCTGGCCAATGCTTAGAATCTGAGATAGACCAGGTGTCTCTCACCTGGCATATGTAAATACCCTCTTATTGGTAGGACTTGAAACTTCTGCATGTCCTCATCCAGTTCCACATTAGCAAGAGATATTTGAAATTTATTGAGGCAGGGGAAGTGAGACTTTGGTCACCCATCAATACTGGCATTATGATAGTACTGGATTATCACAGTTTTACTGCTCTAGGTTACTTGTGCCTGCTTTCACATAGATATTGAAGGTCTCAGTGTGTCTTTATATAGAAAATTCTAGATGCATGTTATATTGCAATATCTGTGCAAAGTAAAAGAACAGAGAGTTGGTAGATATGCTCCAGTGAGTTTTGGAATATTCTTTTTAAAGCAAATTGTATTTCCCCCCCTTTTTTCAGAAAGAACATTCTGTATGAAATTTCTCTTGGTATTTGATATATAAGCTTAGGAATTGAAAGGAACACCACGTCAGCACACCTAGTTAATAAGGACTTACACTAGTAGCAGCCTCAGACTGATAATTATTTCATAACATTGTTTTTTTTTGTTTGTTTTTTTAATGTTTTATTGTGAATTATGTGATAGTTTACATGGTAGAACATTAGTTTTACATTCATCCTATCATATATCGTTTCATTGCTATGGTTACAATCCCCTTCATGCATCATCAACCAACAAAAGAGTATACACTACAAGCCTGCCCCCCAGGTCATCAGCACACAGCCCCTCTCCTTCTCTGTGTCTAAAGCCCCCCACTGCTCCATCTCTCCACGTCATCATCTCTGCCTCCATCTCAGGCATCACTGCTTCTCTGGGTACAGTCCCGCTCTCTTCTCTTCTCCCTTGATGGTCCCAGGGACCTCTGCTCCTAGGCTGAAGAGTTAGTCACTCCCCTCCTTGCTACAAAACATCTACCTTTACATTTCCAACCCTCACAAGCAGTCCTGATAACAATTATTCACTATTGTATCACAAGAGACCCATCCTCATTTCATTTTATCAGCCCTGCCTAGACAGATTGGATACTACTCAGTGGAGATTCTACCTTCCTTCACGCCCTCTGAGTCTAGATTCCCTCTTGAAATCTTGTAAGCCAGTCACTTCTTGCCTTTGTAGCCCTCCCATTTTGGGTAGCCAATGTCCAAGTTCATAGCATTGTTTTAATTATCAGTTTGTGTCTGTCTTCTTGTCTTGTTCATAGAAGAGTCCTGTAACTAACTTAATTTTCTTTTTCTGTTAAGTTTTTATGTCAATTAAGTGAAAGTTTACAGGCAGATCATGAATTTTACATTCAACAAATTATATACTTTGTTTCATTACAATGATTATAATCCCCTCCATGTACCCTCAGTTAACAGTATTTCTCTATTCATTTTAGCTCCCCCCACTTTTTTTTTAAACACTCAGACATATATATTAATTTAAATCACAAAAGGGCACATTCTACAAGTCTGCCTCCAGCCACCAGCACTCAGTCCATCTCTTTCCATGAATCTAGAGACCTCGGCTGCTCCCTCTCTCCATGTCCCCATCTCTGTTTCCATCTCTGGTGTTGCTGCTTTTGCTTTTGCTCTTCTCCCTTGATAGTCCTAGGATCCTCTGTTTCTGGACTGTAAGATGAACTACTCCCCCATTTTTGTTACAAAACTTCTACTTTACAATTGTGATAGTCTCAATTAGTCATGATAACAATTACTCATTATTGAAGCATAAGAATCTTATCCCCTTATCTTTTCACCAGACCCATCTAGGCAAGATGAAAACTATTCAGTGGGTACTGTATCTTTCCCCGCACATTCTTAAACTAAACTCCCTCTTGAAAACTTGTAAGCCAGTCACTTCACGCTTTTATCTCCCTCTCATTTTAGGTAGACCATGTCTAAGTTGCCCATCCCTCTATACCCTGTATACAGAGGAGATAGCATTGATACTTGATGTGAAGACTCCTTCCCTCTCTGTTGGTATTTTGAGCTACTACCTCCTTGAGTTCACCAGCTGCTCCTTGGAAACCCCATACAGG